AGGCAGAAAAACATTCTTCTTTATCTGCCGGCCGTTAGTGGAAAAATTTTTCATTCACCTGCAAACTGCAACCTGCCTGCACTGCCTGCAGGTTGCAGGCAGTTTACAATGCAGGTGATCAGCTCTGTTCTTTGTATATTTGATCGATCTGCGCAAAAGTCAAGTTGCTGTATCAAAATAAGAGCTCAAAAACTTGACAGTAAGTCGGAAACTGTACAACTGTACAACTGTGTAGCAAGTAAACTCGAAAACAAATACGTCAATTTTTGTAGAGAATTCAATTCTCTACAAAAGCATATTTTTAGAAATTTGTTTTAAAAAATGTTTTTCACGGGTGGCAGCCCTTAAACTCGTTACGAGATGAAAAATACTAACGTCTTCTTTTAGACTGAGAAGCTGTTTTGAACTCGTTACGAGTCCAAATGAGTGTTCACATAGCATAGCGGAGACATGTTCGTCAGGACGGGACGGACGGCGGCGGGGGATGGCATGATGAGAGTGAATGGACATGAACACTACAGCACCAGCTTTTTAAAGCCGTACGAGTTCAAAACAGCCTTCCCTAAACTATCTTAGAACATAACACTAATATAACACTAATTTTCATCTCGTTACGAGTACGAATTTAACATGAAGTCATGTTTTTGGTTCAAACATTAAAAATCCGTTTTCTGAAGAGTTCAAAACTAGGTTTTTTGGATGAAAAATGAACTTTTTTTGAAAAACGAGTTTTAAACGGGTTCTTAGAATAAAAAACTGAATCTAATCATGCGTTCAAAACTTTGAATACAGAAAAAAAAATTTTTCAAAAACTTGATCAGCGAAGTGTACCGTTGCGTGAACAAGCTGTAGAGAGGTTCATTTTTATGGTCCATATAGGCACCACATCGACGACAACGATAACAGCAACAACAACGACCACAATTATAACACCTAGTTTGACTGTTACAGCAAGCACAATTACTACAACAGAAAGTACTTCGATGGCGACAGCGACTACTACCACCAGCACTACCACTACTATCACTACGAGTAAGTGCAAGCTGATAAAAACCTTTGAAAGGAGTAGAGAGGTTCATTTTTATGGTCCATATAGGCACCACATCGACGACAACGATAACAACAACAACAACGACCACTACTACTACAAGTAAGTAGCGTCACGGACAGAATCTGAACTAGGAGAGGGAAATGCTTGTGAGTAGTACCGAAAATTTCATAGTGCTCCCGTTAATTCAGAGCCACAGCACTATTTTGTTGAAAAAACCGATTTTTTCCCCCAACACTGCCATGCCAACCGAATACCGTACCGAATACCGAAAATACCGACTTTTTTTATTTGGACTTTTTTAGATTTTTTCATCTGAAATGACATAGTTTAGCATCCTGGACACCCGGAAAGAATCAGAGATGCAAAACAAGAGCTTTGTTTGCTTTCTAAGGCCAAGGTTTTCCTTTATTTTCTACGTAAGTTATTCTTACACATGCTCAGAGTACCCAGCTGAATGTTTTTTGTGTTCTGACTGTGCATGACGCTAAACTGTCTCATGTCAGATGAAAAAATCCGGCAAATGATATTTTCGGTATTGGTATTTCGGTATGAATACCGATACCGGTGCATACCTAGCTGAAATTAGGTATGCACCGAGTAATTGTCTAAGAATTTCATATTTATTTTTTTGAAAAATCTGCCGTTTCGCAAAATTTTCTGACTCGGCAAGAATCTAGAGCGAACATTTTTCTACAAAATGGGAGGCCGGACAGCTTTGCATGATTTATTTTGCAATTTTGTAATCGATGTCCCATAAGGGACTAACTGAGTACTTGCGGAGCATCCGATGTACTCGTTTACTACTCGATTATGTGTTCTTGAAGTATCACAACCAAAATCACAAAACAAATCATGGAAAGCTGTCCAACCTCTCATTTTGTGGAGAAATGTTTTCTCTAGATCCTTACTGAGACAGAAAATTTTAACGAAACAATGTACGAAACGGCAGATTTTTCGAAAAAATACAAAATCCGTAGGTAATTGCTCGGTCCATGCCTAGCTGAGATAATCAATTTTTTCGACAAGTGTTTTTCTTTCTGCACATGAAATAAAGTTCAAGTTATTCAGTAATCTACCGAATAACTCAAGTAATCGGGCGATTGCTAGATTTCTCCTCAATACAACTATCGATTTACCGCCCAGTCGATCGATTTAACTATTGCTAGGTGTAGATACAGACGCATCTGGTCAGAAGTCCCTTTTCCAACTAGTAATCTAAGTTGGATGACAACTAGTCGTGCATCGCCCCATTATAGACAAAATGTATCTAGATTTTTCCCATAGATGATTTTTGCTTGGATACTTCAACGTATTCGGAATGAATATGAGGATATTCATTTATTCGAAACATTTCAGCAGCTGCAGCGTGAACTTAACAAAATTTTCTCCGCCTTCGGCGGCAAAAGTTTTAAAACATGGCGGCGGCGGCGGCGGCGGCGGCGGCGGCGGAAGTCAAAATAATTTTTCTGCGCCTTCAGTGGCGGCGCACATCCCTGCATATAAGTTCACATAAAAAAATCACGATTAAGTTGAGGAAATTCTATATCGTTGTCCGTCATTTCTACCCAATTTTTTGTAGGTAACATTTCTAAAGATGTTAGATGCTGCGATGGACTTGTTTATTCGATAAGTGTAAGCTTTTCTCTCTAGTATTTTGGTGTTTGATAGATTTAGGTCAAATATTATTGAATGATATTTATTCAAGCAAGCGGTTGCTATGCATACTAAGTTGTTAAGTATTGTTAAAAAGGAATTGTTAGTACGTTCTTATAAAAATCTCCGTTGTTCATCCTCGCATGATAACTCTCAATAATCCAATCGGTTCCAGTTAATGCTTCTTGACATTTTAGATATCTCTTGACAGGAGTGCTAACGTTTCAGGAAGAATGTCCATAGCTCCCAAACCATGTCGCTTAGATTCGGTTTTGTAGAGGACACTTCGGACTATATATGTCCCAAAGCCCAAGATAGGTTTTGCTTGTAGATGTACTCCTGTACTTTGGCTCCGATAGTAGTTTCCCCAACCTCCAGATAGACGGTAAAAAGAATTGCCAATAGCAGGGATTACTTCCACGGAAATTCAACCATCTTTAAATTTGGTAAATCATACTGAATCATTGTTTACTTTCAAAATAATTTACCGAATCGACTTCGTGCACAAACAATGGCTATAATCAAAAATATTCAAATTTTATAAAATCTTAGGTTAAAATTCTAGATCCCTTTCGGCACGCTTTTGTATATAATGTACAGACTTGTGTTGCGTACTGGCACCTCTGACTTCTCAGAGAAAGAGAATTTTCTCCGCTCTCGAATATACATTGTACAGGCAGACAAGGTAACATGGACTGACTAAGGAAAAATATATTTGCCGAGAAATAGTGTTGCAATAAACTATCCATATCTGTGATTTCCTAAAATTTTAGCAAGTAACGGTATAGTAAACGTACACACTCGCGTCATAGATTTCATCATGTCTCATCATAGTCCATCACGTTTGACTGGACGAGTTACACTTCAGACTCAAGATCTCCCTGATCAGCTTTCCTCCTTGTTCTGCAAAGATAGAAAAAGATTGTTAAACTTAAAATTTTTAAAAATTTTAGCATCATTTGAAGAACTTAATATTTTAAATATGTTTTTATCAGAAGATCCGCAGATACTCGAGAGAGGACTCCGTTTCGTAGAAGACAGTTGACTTTGTAAGGGACTCCGAAAGACAAGATCAGTTTTTTCTTTTATCATGAGGTCGGTTATCCTTCATTTAACCGATAACGTGAAAACTGAATTATAATAATTATCCTATTTAACACAAGCATTTGAACAGGATTTAACACTAGAACGTCCGGAAATTTTCATGACCTAGAACGCCCAAAACGGTCATTTTGACCGTTACTGTTTTTTTTTAAAATTTTATACTTAAAAATGGTTCTGAATTAATTGTATGCAGTTTGTTTTATTAAGGATAAAAATCACAGAACGGTCAAAATGATCACTACGGCGTTCTAGTGTTAAATACTTCTGACAGGGATTCGTATTGGGTATGAATTATTGAATATTTCCTTTTTGTCTTTCAAGTATCAACATCAACTTCATCGTCATCGACAACCACCATGTCTACCAGTACATTGACAAGTAGCACGTCATCAATAACGCTAAGTAAACTGATTGTTATATATTTCCAAAATCTTTCTTCCAATGTTGCAAAACGCTTTCGCTCGAATAAGCGTGTAACATGAAAATGCTATATGAAGATCAACCGAAGGGATTTTGATAAATCATAGTACTGAAGGGTTTTAAGCGATACTCTTTCCGATGGCTAACTCGAAATAATTTTAAAAATATCAGAAGTAGGGTTTCCAGAACACCATGCTTTTTCACACATCCATTTATAGAAAATAATTCTTTTTAAAGAAACACTTGTCTGTAAACATATTTCAAATTAGCGGTTCTATTCAGAATTGAGTGGCTACATTTTAAAAAAAGTCGGACTCACCAGCTCATAATCTGAAATTTTTATTTTAACTTTTAAATTTTTTTAAAACTGCACTCTCCGCGTTTACAAGCTAGCTGAACACATTTCCAAGGACAGGTTGGATAGAGCGCGAAAAATTGAACATATCTGGACAGTTGGTGAGTTCCGAATCTTGGATAAAAATGGTTTTCCAAAGGTTTTTCAAAAACCTACATACTAAAATTTATATTCTAGTTCCTTTTTCAGCACTTTAAAAGTATGTGATGAAATTTTAAGATATGGTTATCGATAGAGTTTGAAGAGGTGACCAAACTCAATAGTTTTTGAATGCCTAAAAGAGGATTTTTAACAGAGTTTAAAGAGTTTTTGAGAAAACTTCAGGCAAATCTTAGCTTCTTTTTCACTATCATCGATACTTCCGATATATTGTCTAGTTTTTATTGCATGTGATACATGAAAATTACTTTATCTTGGTCTTCAACGATTTTCTATGCTTTTCATAAGTAATTTTCATAAATAATTTACCGAATCGACTTCATGCACAAACAATGGCTATAATCAAAAATATTCAAATTTTATAAAATCTTAGGCTAAGAACGGCTAAGCTTAGTATGGCATTCATTTTTATATTGCAAGTTATTTTGTGAAACATCCAAACGCATCTAAGATCATGTATACTTACAAAATGAAAAATACTTCAGAAATTATCTTCTTAGATAGCCTGACCCTTGTTAGCGTTAACGAATGTATACATTTAAGACGAAATCTGCTCAAAGAGGGATATATTCTCTAAAAAAAGGTTTCATGCGGAATCTAAAAGAGTTTAGAATAATGCAACCATTTTTAAATCTTTTTCAGGTTTCATAGAAGAATAGTTGGTGTGAGGGTGAGGGTGAGACGTTAGTGCGTAAATTCTACTGTTTTTTTTCTTGGCAAATGGACCATTTCAGCAGCACAGGCGGCTTTTCGTAGTACAGAGCGACCATAGCTAAACCCAAAAATACATGAAATTTATTTGATTTTTGATTTATAGTGAGAAAATCAGGAAGAAATAACATGACGAAATAAGCGAACGTAGCATTTCAATGCACTAAAACGGTTTCGTAGTTTGTGTTTTCTTCTACAAAACCTAAAAGGGTTTAGAAATAATTGCACTTCTCAAAAGGGTTTTAGGTTTCGTATCAAATCTACTTTTTTAGAAGCACGCATTACAAATCTTAATTGTTATTCTGACGTTCTATCCATAGAAAATTTAAATACAAATAGGACTAGAAACATGTGAAACAGTTAAAATGGTGAAGTAGTTTCCATGGTTTTCTTGATGAGAATGACTGTATTTTTTTAAAGATATCTGATCGTCAAATTGTCTGCGATTGATAGGTGTTGAAGAACGCAAGCCAACGCTTATTGTCTCGGTATTTTGCATTTCAAATGATGGTCGCTTTGTTCGTTATTATAGATTGTTCTTATTTGGGCCAGAAGACTGTTACGTTTGACGATTTACCGGTAACAACAGTTTATCCAGCACTTCCATCTTCTCTTTATGATAATTTACTGTGGACAAATGGTCACTATTTGTGGGCCACTCTAACTCAATTTCCTACTAGTGGTTATCCGATACTGCTAACATCAGGTAATCAGACAGGTTGGTATCAAGGTAATTCAATGTTAACTATTCAATCAATAACCAATTGTACAACATTTACATTTAATTCCGTTTTGATGATTGCTGGATGGACAGCAACCCTCACGACATCCATTATCGGTTATTATAATACCACAAGATTATATAATCAAACGCTTACACTGACTAAAACGACAAAATATCTATTCACTCCCAATTGGTCCGGTATCAATAAAATTACAATGTTTACAGCTGGAACTCCAACTACTGATGATGTTGGTATAGAGAATTTAGTTATCACATATAGTTAAGCATCAAAAATGGGAACTTCTATTTCTTCGTTGAACACCATTCAATAAGTTAAAACTGTCCATCGATTTTTCTAAATTTTTCATTCCTTTTCAATATTATTGTTCACTGCTCGTAAATGGATTTTTGTTGGTCACAGTCGAAAAGAATATGTACTTGTGTTTCTTCTAGATGAAATTCATAATTAACTTTAATGTCCCGTTACACAATTAGAACTTCTGCGTTAATCTCTATGTTTTCTAATGATTTAAGGATGCCACACTTAGTATACTATTAATGGATTCTATTCACATATTCGTTGTTTTCATTTAATAAACGATTCAGATATTCCAATGGACATAGTTGCAAAATAACTCATATACCATCATCAAGTGGATATAAGCTTTATTCTTTCAGGATACAAGCGGAAAAATATTCCGTTACAGTATTCTAAATTAAAACTATCGAAAAACATAAAACCAGTTTTGCACGGATAGAGATTCGAATACATGAACTTAGCTTTGTAGTAAACTGCAAAACTGGATCCACCATTCTGAAGTTTACTGCAAAGGTAAGTTCATGTGTTCGAATCTCTATCCGCACAAAATTGATTTTGCGCTTTTCGATAGTTTTAATTTAGAATACTATAACGGAATATTTTTCTACTGATATTCTGAACGAATATAAAGCTTATATACCAAGTTGACCAAGATTCTCTCTAACAATTGCAATCTCTTTTGTTAAACATAATTGAATAGACGTTGAGTCTGGTTTCTTCGTGTTCGCAATCAGCGGCTTTGCTTTTTTCAATGAAAAAAAAGTTAAAGTTCGAGCTGCAGAAAACACGTAAAACAAAATTTTTTTGATCGAGTTTGGATGAGAAAAATTTCCAGTCGTAAACTCAGTTTAATTTTTACTCTGTGCCACCGCTTCTAAGTTTTGATTTCCATAGAACCAGATGTGAGGCGCCAGACATGAGTATTGAGCATCTATGAACAAGCAGGAGCCTCCGTGTTTATCTATCTATCTATATATATAAAGAAGAAAGTTTGTTTGTATGTTTGTTTGTATGTTTGTTCTCTATGCATTCAGTCCCTGTAAGAGCTAAAGCAGCCAAAATTTGCATGGCACACCCTTGGGTCCAGGGGAAGGTCAAGAGGGGGTCGGCGAGACCGAA